AGTTTCTTATTATAATATAAATTATTTTCTAGACTTTTTTTCCTGCTAGATGTTTCTTACATATATACTGAAGGCCTTACGTCAGCATGATTCAGCATTTTGTTAAGTCTGTATCAATCTGCATGTTACGCTATATTCCACCTAAGAAGTGAGTCTTTTTTTGTATCATATTAAAGTTCTTAAGAAATCTATCAGCAAGCATTCTGAAGATCTTTCAAAGTTTTTCTTGAGCCGTTTATTCATTTATAAAAAGAGAACAAAAAAGTTTAAGCCTGAAAAATTATATATTTCAGTTGATAATTATCTGTGACAAATAAATCCAAGCACAGACTTTAGACAGGACCTGCCAGACGGCTCTATCTGTCCAGATATGTCATGTTTTGTTAAGATGTCAAACTGGCTTTTATAAACTGAAAAAAAATCTTTACAGTACTTATGTTTTGTTTAGCAGGAAGCAGAGCAGAAATTGATTGTTTCAAGTTCTTTAACACATACAGTACATACCCACAGGAAAAAAGGAGGCTGGTGTGAACTTGAACACTGGGCGAAGTGTGAAGTATATCTCCTGACATACTGTGAGGGAGAACAGATACAGAACACTTGCTTACAGACGGACGGTATCAGTGATGCAGCAGATTAATTATCAGCTAAACTTTTAAATAATATGGGTTTCAGTTTACAGCATGTAAAGACTTAGTAAAATCATGCATAGATCCAGTTATTTTGACCTTACATGGTTTATTCTGTTAGTGTTTGTATGCTTAAGATTGACATGGACTCACAGAGTTACATAAACCCTGTTTTATTTTGTTGCATAACTGTAGGAAGAAGTTTAACTTTCAATCAGTTTTGTCTGATATATTATCCAACATGTTTCACAGGTTGGTTGGATTATAATAGTTCACCCTTTACATGAGTCTTTTGAATCTAAATCTTTGCTATAGTTTGGCACATCTTAGCGTCAAGTTGAAATTATAAAAAAGTCCCATAAAATAAATTAGCAAATATTTTGAAACATTGCATTAAAATTGTAAAGAAAGAAAGAAATATGTGAGATTATTTTAAAACTTTCTTAAATAATTTTATCTCTCATTTTGTCAAGTGTGTGGGTTAAAAACTGTTTTGGAAATATATATTTGCACTTCTGAATAAATTCCTTCCAAGTTATCTACAAGTTCATTACTGGGCTTAGGTGAATAATACACATGTTTGATATACATGCCTATAAGATAAACATCAGATCAATTCAGCCTTAATAACATATAGTACTAGCCATATTTATTGACTGCCCTGGTTGTGAAACAAACCTTTTCAAAGCAACGGCATAAAACCACAAACGGCTTCTTTACTGGTTAAAAACGTCCACTTTAAGAATGGTTTTTAAACAATTCATAGGGTGTAAAACTACACTTAGTTTTAACAATTTCTCTAAAATAATTTGTAGCATTTAAAGAAATATATATTCTTAGCAGAATGATCCGGCTGGCAATTTTTGGAAAAATTGAAGCTTGGATTTGACAAAATTTACCCCATTTTAAGAAAAAAAACAAAGGTAAAGAAAAAAAAACTGTATGACCTTCGGCCATTTAGACTCTCTCTATATTGAGGTTTTGGGTGAACATATGTATGCGTAGAAATATGTTGTTTTTAATCGTTGTTTTAAGGTGGTGTATGTCTTGCAAGTCAATGACTTAATTAGCTTGTTTTCTTCGCCAAAAACTTTTAGCCAATAAACCGGTTAATTTAGCCAATAAACCGGTTAAATCGAAAAGATGTTGGATATTTGCAGCCCTATGTGAATGCAGGTTTTCCATTTAAGGTGTGTATTTCTAAGTGTGGTGAGAACAGTTGAAGGCCAGCAATCCACAGCACTAAAGACCTACAAAGAGCAGATAGACTGAGCCCTGAAAAGCTGCAGCGCTCACAGTAGAGCAGAGAAAGTCTGTATATTAACCTGTATTCTGGGGGCCTGACTGGTTTCCATCTCTTTGGCTGATCCCTCATGTTTTCTGAGAATTTCCATCGAAGAATGGAGATGATAATGGTAAAAGGTTCGCTGTATGTCCTGTAAACCATTTCTAGTTTATAGGATGAGGTAAAGAGTCAGATATTTACAGCATAAGATGATGAGACATAAATAATGAATCTAATTTAACGCTTTTTTTTCCACATCTCAGCATTGATTACCAGAAATATCCCTGTATTTGACATCACAAACTATTAATAAATTACAATTTTCTAAAACCAAACTTTTCAAAGAACTTTAATCCAACAAGCAATGCTGCATAAGCTTCCAAAATATAACTTTTTTTTTTTGCACTTTTTAGTTATTTAGTTATTGTCCACATTTTGGTTTTAATATGAAGATAACATATTCATGTAAAATTTGTAGTCAGAAAACTGCGTCTTAAAAATATCAAAATTGTCCTTTTGCTCTTTGTATTCGGTCGGGACTAATTCTCTGAGATGTTAAAAAGATTTTTCTAATTACTTGTTTTAAACACTGCTCTCTCTTTTCCTCTGTAGTTGACAGGACAAAATTAAAAGGCTGCGTGGGAAAAACAGCGCTTTATATGTTTAGCCAGAGCCATTAAGGAAGCACAAAACCATCACTCTGCGTTTGTGGCTTGACTCAGAGGCGATAAAAGCATCTTCCTTATCAGTCTTGTAGCCTTGCCAGATGCCTTTGTAGTTTGCCGTATGTTTTATGCATTCTCTATTCTCCAGTTTTTCTGCATTCATTTCTTTCCCTTTTTGTTTTTGGGGAGCCGAGTGGTCCAGAAGTCTGAGGCCTCTGTGTTCCGCCCCCTTCCGTCTTCCCCGTCGGAGATTAAATATAAAGGACGGCGCCATTAATTAAGCAACTAATCTTGCTGTTTATGTTTTGTCATATTTGCTGCTTACAGATGCGTTCAGAGCTTCCCCAAATTATGAATGCTTCCTTGCACATTAAAACATTTCACAGCGACGGCTCTGTACACGGCTCAGCGGGCTGCCAGGGACGCTGCTTTACCTCATTCCAGCTGAAAAAAAAAAAAAAGAAGTCCTCGCCACAGCCAGCTCCTTTTTATTATTTATTTCTGCAAGCGCTTCAGTTAATACTGTTGATTTAAAGCCTCACCTTCAATTTGGTGTAGCATGTGGACTGAGCTTTACCTTTTTGCTGCAGCTGAACCAATTTTCTGCTTCAAGCGCCTTTAATAAACCTCGTAGCACTATCAGGAGGCTTCAGCTTCCCTGATGAAGGCCATTTATTTCAAATTAAAGGAGAGTTCTTATCTTCTATGGACTCAAATAGAGGAGGCAGATAAAGACGGCGTGCTTTGGTGTCGCACTGTCTGTGTAGTTAATGCGCTGACCAGGAAGGAGGGGGCGAGGAGGGGAAGGCAAAAAAAAAGTGGAGGACGGCCGATTAAACGGGCAACATAAAAGGAGAGGGGTTTGTGAGGAGGAACAGAGAAATCTGATAGGCTGTCATCTTTTTAAAACAATTATCCGAGGGAACGCCATTAGATCCTTTGTTCTTGCTTCCTCCGTCCGTTTTATCTCAATCTTTTTGTTACTCTCATCATTTATGTGTATTTTTCTCTTTAACCTTTGCCACCCGTGCTCAGATAAACGCCGTTATTGCCTCTGCGGTGCTTCTTTACACGTCAACATGTATGGATACGGGTACGCCGTAATTGAAATCACTGAGGTCAGCTCTTCTCCACAGTCAAAAGCAAAATGAGTCTTTAATTTAGCTTCAATTAAAAACTCGTGCTGTTAAACGCTCCTCACAGAGCAGGTGTATGTGCAGGGGGATGAAATTAACACGCCGTAAAGTGTGTGTGTGTTTTTTTTATGTTTAAAGTGTAGCAGCGTGTATCAGCGGTTGCATTTGTGCACATTTCTCCCTGTACCTGTGTGGGCGTTCATAACTCGCTTGTCTCTACTTCAATCAGTCAGAATCTATTACAGGAGGACGTCGAGGCAGCAAGCCTGTCATCCTTAACACTCGCAGAGATAGACAGCCAAAGAAAAATTATAATACAGCCCACATATCAAATTAAGCTGAGCTAATTCAATCTCTCAAAGCTCACTTTTCTGCTATATTTGATCAGAACGAATCTACCCACTCAATTAAGTGTGATTTAGTGCTAATTGTGTGATTTACAGTGAAGCACGTACCATCCACCCCACTCGTTGTTAAACAGGTTCCCATCAACGGAGATGTGACTTGTTTTTCATCTTTGTCTTTTTTTATTGTTTTTTGTTTTTTTCCATGAAAACACTTCAATTCCCATTTGATATTTTTCATGTCAAAAAAATTGATCAGATAAAAAGTCAGACTGAAGCTGCTTTGAAAACTTTAAATATAAAGCAGCTGTTGTCTCACTGATTTATGAATTCGACTAAATCCCTTCATAGTCAGAAATTAATCCTAAATATCATAACATTTCCAATAGGAGCCCTGTGTGTAATAGAGTTAGATGGCGTCCATTTTGCGGTAAAATTAAGACATACTTAAGCCAAGTATTTGTATGTATGCTGGAAAAAAATCGAAATCTAGACAAGTCATTTTTTTTCTTAAAATAAGTCCTTTTGTTCTTGGATTTAGGAGGTAAAAGAGACATTTTGCCAATTAAACAAGACAATTTACAATTAAAAAAAGAAAAAAAAACTTTTTCATTGTCTTATTTTATCTAATTATCTTATTTTAAGAGTAAAAATACTTATTCCATTGGCAAACTATCTCATTTAGCTGCTGAAATTAAGGATAAATACAGTTATTTTAAGACATTTTTACCTATTTCTAATTCGATTTTCCAATGGAAAATGTTGCCTCCTCAATCCAACAACAAATGCTCGTATTTTAAGAAGAAATTACTTATCTAGATTTCGATTTTTTTTTTCCAGTGATGTAGCGGTCAGTCACATTTCTGTACAGGAGAGAAAATGTCGTTTTTTTGTCTCTAAATGAATCCATCTCTGTGTTTTTTGTCTTTTATCTTTCGCAGGTCTCGTAACACAGCTCCTGTGTGTCCTGGCCTGCAGGCTCAGATTCTATCCTGCTATAAGGACAACAAGGACCAAACCTTGAAGTGTTCAGACTTGGCTAAAGAATACATGCAGTGCATCAATGCTGCAAAGAAGGTGAGATTTTTTTTATTTCCAAATCGGGAAGAAGCAGGATTAGGGATGTCTGAGCAGTGCGCCTTGGCTTAGATTGGTTTCTCACTCCAGCAAATTTTTCTATGTTTTAGCTTCAAGTTTTTTTTTTATTATCTATGATATGCTTTCACATTATCTTCCTTTTCCAATAAAAGCTAGAAATTGTCTGTATTTGACTCGATAAGTTTAAAAAAATGCAACAAGCATAGTGTTTCCTATCATATTTTAAAAAGCTGATAAATAAGCAGATTAGGGGGTTAATGCAGTGAACATTTAGCTGTGCACAACAAAAAATGCCTTCAAAAAAATAAGAAAAACATATTGTGTTTTAAGTGAATAATTGCTTATTTTGAGCAAATTAATCTGCCAAGCAAGCAAATGAGACTTGGTAAGATTTCATAAAACAAGAACATACTGTAATATCCAAGTAGTAAGCGTCCAAAAAAACTTAAATCAAGTATAAAAATAAATTTTTCTTTAACTTGTTAAGATTTTTTCTCTTATTTTAAGCAATGTATTCTCATTTATTAGTCATTATTGCTTAGAATTAAATAACCTCTAACCAATTATTGCTCAAAACAAGCATACAACAGGCTTAAAAACAAGGCAAATGTACTTGATACCAGTTCATTTAAAAGTTTAAAACTAGTCTGTTTTTCTTAGCTAGATTTAAATTCATTATTTAGGTGTAGTGAATGTATGGGAAAAATACACTTGACAAAAACTTCAAAACGTTTTTTTTTTATTAATATTTTAGCAGAAATGTCACAGAATTAAGCGAAATTACCGTCCCCTCCAAAAAGAAAAACACAAAGCTGAGGGCTGCACAGGCCAAACACTGAAGAGATGGTGATGTAGCAGCATCGCTACTCTCTACCCCTTCTATTCATTTTAGCTAGCTGATTCGCCTGCGTTATGAATGCTGGCATACCGTTCAGTTTGTGCCTTCAGGTCGTTGCCCATATGAAGACGTTACTTGGATATATCCTAATGGAATATCTTCAGAAGAGCTCCAAATGACACAAAACTTATAGAACGTGATGTAATAACGTAAAATCAAGGGCCAAATGTATGAAAAACTGGCGTTCCCCTTTTAGAGCTTCTATTATAATAAGCATATGTATGATGTACAGTATTTATGATGTATTGTAAACAGTGAATGGTCCACTGCTAAGGTTCAGAATCTCAAAGCTAAATCATGAATGACAATCTGTCTTGAAACAAGTAAAAATGTACTCACAGTCTAAATGTTAACGCGACTCAGTCCGCGATGTGTGCTATTTTAAGAAAAAAAAACTGCTCAGAATTAGTTTTATTATCTAGTTAGGATGAAAAAAATTAATTTTCTTAAATAAAGTCAAATAATCTTAACAATATTCAGTCTTACTAAGAAAATACATTGAAAAACAAGTGTAATAAGACCAAAATGCTGAATTCAAGTTTATTACACTTGTATAGATTTTTCTTTTTTGCAGTGTGTTTTTAACAATATTCCTGAGAAGGCAAGGACCGCATAGAACAATGATCGCTGTAAGAGTGTGTGGATGAGAAATGTCAATGATAACGGCTTGCAGACTGATTATCTGAGGCAAAAAATCTACAAAATCAAAGCTCCTCAGCAAACTTTATGCAGTTTTCCTCTAAAGGCCCCGAACATGACAACTTCCCAGAATGACAGGGCTGCTTTAAAACAAGTTCACCTTGTCACTAGAGAGCTAATTTTGGAAAAGTTGAGGGAAACACAAGAAAGCAGAGATAGGAAAAACACAAACTAAAACCCAGACGGTGTTATTCAGTGTTTTTGATAAACTCTGAATATGATCTAAAGATCATTAGAATTGCTGTGAATATGTGAGCTGTGGGACTGAAGCAAATGTAATGATTGTTGCTGCAATAATATCTTCAGTTTCCTCATTTGAACTTTATAAAGGTATTAAATCAAATCACTTGCACTCTTTTTTTTTGTGTGTGTGAACAGATAGGATTATATAAGACTGCCTGATAACGCTCCTTGCAATTTGATGCTTAGCCACATTTTACCTCATAGAAAGTTGATTCCTCATTCAGAGGCTGTTTCTGTCATTCTAAAGGACAGAAATAAACATTTTTCTAGCTATATGTTTTTCTTTACTCCATTTGAAATATGATTGAAAAAGTATTCAAACACCTTAACCATTTTGACATGTTTTCATAAAGTATTATCCATGGATTTTGTTTGACTTCCTTCTATGTTCAGCTCCCATGTTCAATACTTTGTATATATCGTTTTTATTGAAATTAAAAGTGCGGCGTAAATATCTGACTGTTCTTTTCATGATTTAAAATCACCAGAGAACAATTTTAAACAATAACATTACAGATCTGATTAAGAATTATATATTTTTAGCCCAGACATTGACTGAGCAAGTCAACCATGTAAACATACCTTGGTTTGTAGCTCTGTTGGTAAGTTTAATGGCTCATCCTGTTGTACAGTAAACTGTTACATTTTACTATAGTATAACATCAACTTCCTCACTATAGCTCTTTAGATGGTGCCAATATGCTTAGAATGGGTTTTTCACCACAGACTGGATGAGAGAGTTGCAGCTAGCATGCAGATCAATGCAAGATCCCTAGAACAGGGTTTCCATGGGACATTAAAAGTCATTATATTATTAGTTTTTTAAATTAAGGCCTTATGTGGCGTTAAAATTCATTAAATGTGATTATAGTGGTATTTAAAATGGTTTATTAAAGGAAAGGAAAAAAAAACGTCTATACAATCAATTTCATCTGATTTATCAGATATAAATGATTCCGCATGTTTGCGCGGAAATGCTTCCGGTTGATCGTAAACCTGTTGCTGTGTGTTTGGAAAAAAAGCTTGAGGCGGAGAAAAAGCCAGAGGATGGGGAAACTGCAAATTTCAACAAAAGTGGCTGGAAAAAGAGGAATTCGGGACATGGCTGCAGCCTGTCGACTATAAAGATGAAGAAAGGATTTTTCCTTGTTTTATTTATATATAAATATATGTGAGAATCATGGGTGATTGTTGATGGCATTAAAATTGACATTAAAAGTAGGGATGCACGATTTAGCCGATAACCGATATCGATACCGATGTTAAAGCTGGACAAAAATAAGTAGTCATTGAAAATAGCAGTTTTGTTATCCATTTCTGACACTTTGAAAAATAATATACTCAAATATATTTTCATATGCTGATATCAAATAGATTTTTAAAAACGCGGTATCGATCTATTTTACTTTCAAAATCTCATGAAATTTCATCGTTCTCTTACAAACTCATGATATTTTGCTAATTCTTGTGAGATTTTGTTAGTAAAATAGATCGATATCGCGTCAATATATCAACATATAAAAATATGGAAAAATTTTGTGAATTTTCGGGGGATTTCGTAGCATAACGATGACATATAGCAATATTTCATTAGTAAAAGATATGAAGATATTGTGATATTTTAATGTATCAATATTTTTTCTTCTTTCTAAGTCTGTAAAAAGAAGTTTTCGAGGAAGAAGAAGAAGTAGTATTTTATTTTTTTAGACTTTAGAAACTCAGAAGCTGATCAAATATCGGGTTAAATATCCGTGGGGTGGCCTTCTCTGCTGAGAAAAAGATTCCCACACCATGATGCTACCACCACCATGGTTCAACACTGTAATAGTTTCTCCCATGTGCAGCATTCTAAGTAGAGACTCAATAGTTATTTTTGTCTCATTTTTGAGAAAACCGTCATGTTTTCTGTCCTAGACAAATTCCCAATAGTAAACTATATTTGCTTTTATTTTTTTATTTTGTTTGTTAGCTTATTTCATGCTTGTGTCCCAGGAATAAATCCTCACTTTACTCGTCCATTTAAACATCCTTTGTTTTCATTCTTTTAGTCTCCAGCTTATAAGCTATTTGTTTCCAGCATCAGAGGAAACCAAATACAATAATTTAGCTATCCATGCTCTTAGTAATAGTGGTTGAATCGCTGTCTGAACTGAAACTGCTGCTTTATTTTTTATCAGCAAAGAAGAATGAAGTTTCTGCCCAATTGCAGAGAATTCCAGTTCACAGAGAGCACAGAGAAAATAAGTGGAGAATGATGAGTAGAAGAGATGCTGAAAGACAGAGGATTGGTATCCTGCACTTCTAAGCTTTTTGTTGTAAAGGCATCGGAAGCTAGAGCTGCTTATCATGATAGATAACAAGAAGTGAAGAAAACAAAGACTTCTACACTTGATCAGTGTGAATGTGTGTGTTTGTTGTGTGAGAAGAGCTTGATTCATTACTGTATGCTTTACCCTGCACAGCCACGACTTTGATGTTGATTGGCTCCGGAGGCGCGTCGCTAACTTTCACTTTGCCGATGGGAAACTTTTTAAACTTTTTTTCTATTATTAGTCTTTAAAAGCTGTTAGTTTTGCTCACATTGATAAAATGTTCTTGTGTCTAGAGGCAGTTTCTAGAGTAAGACATCCAAATATTAGGAAGTCATCCAATTATATTAATAAATTTAAAAAAATCACCAAAACACAAAATAATAACCTTTCTAGAAACCTAATCTAATCTCTGCCTTTTTTTGAATCTTTGTATGCCATGGTAAACAAATGTCTTGTAACATGTTACAGGATGAGAGAATCCGAAAGCCTGGTATTTACGTGATTAGCTAATGTTTAATGCAGCCCAGGCAGTTTTTTAAGTGTGCATATTGCTTTAAATAGTTCTGTGGTGTAAAGTTCAGATATATTCCAGAACTTTAAAAGCGATACTTTTTTTCCCATGAACAGGTATAGATTTACTGATTCACACACAAATTATGACAAGGGATTGAATTTGCATATTAGAACAGAATAGAATAGAATAAAAAAATCCTTTATTTTCCCACAATGGGGAAATTGTGGCGTTACATCAGCAAAAAGATCATAGCAAAAGTGGTTACACAAATGTGGACGTTAAAAAAAGTGTGTCAAAATAACAGAAAAAGTGA